ATAAAATGCAATGAGAATGCTTGAAAATCAAAACACGAATATGCATATTATATGAAAAATTCTGAGTTCTGTATACCAATTCAGGGTGCTATGCGCGTGGAAAACTATTCAGTTAGCTTCAGTAACACTTTTGCAAGCTATTGGGATTAATCTTTGCCTCTGAATCGTCCTCTAAGGCCACTTTCAGTTTTGAACTTTTTTGATAAAATTGCAAGTTTGATTCTTGAGATGGGGCGCAACCTGGAGGTTCCGAGGAGTAGGGTTAGGTTTGCACATGTATAGAGAACGAATTTCATCAATAATCCAAGCCCATAGCCTTGCTTTTAATGATTTTCAAGATTTGATTTTCAAGAATCTTTTCCAATATTTCTTCATGCATATTTGATACAAATCATGGCCAATCACTTTAATTCCTTCCATATCTGATCATGCACGAAATCTTGAGCTTATTCCATGCATAAAAAGATTTAAAAAGTTAGGTTTAGTATTTTCCACATATTTATTTTAATTAAATGAATTATTAGTATTTAAAAATTCAAATAAATAAATAAAAATGATGAAAAACTTCCCTTTGGGCCAAATGGTCGTGTACATGCCTTGGATAATGATTCTTGGAAGAAAAAGAGGCCCATTAGCATTTTTAAGACATTTGAAGCAATGTTGACTTTTCAAAATATCCAAAAATTTCCCAACTTCCACAAGGCATAACTTGCTCAATTTTTAAGCTTTGCTCATGTTCTTGGACATTTTGGAAAGTTCGTTGAGTCCTCTAACCAATGTCTTTAGTCCCATGTCATTTTTATTTACAAATCTCAAATTGTGGCCTTTGACTTAAAGTCCCTTTTTGTTGACTTTTAAAAATGACCTATAATGTTGAAATTGATAACTTTTTGTGAGAGCATTTCTTGGACTTGAAGTGTGAAGAGGAGTTGTAGGAAATGTCTTTCTCTTCAAAATGAGCTTTGGATGGAATTTTTCTGATAATCCATGTGAAAGTTATGCCTTGGTCAAGTTACAGTTGACTTTTTCAACTGTCCAAATATGGAAACTTTTGCATCTTGAGACTTTTTGAGCCAAGCTTTGAGAATCATGATCAAGCATTGATCAAATGATGTTTGTGGCTTCAAAATGAGATGTTGACCAAAAATTTGAACTTTTGACTGTCAAATGACCATTTTGCCCCTACAGTTGACTGTAGTGCAATTAGGGTTTTTGACTGTGCAATTTTGTACTGTAAGTCTTGAAACTTGGTATGAGGATACTTGACCATGTTTGTAAGCATGTGAGACTTGATTGGACCCTTGGAAACTTAATTTACTTGGCCAGAACCAAAACCCTAATCTTTGACTGTTAGGAGGCCCTTGAACTGTGCAACCCTTGGGGAATTTTGAAGCTTTGACTTGGCAAATTTTGAAGAATATGGGAGGGAAAATTTTGGGGTACAACAATAAGGACTTTGTCTATTTTGATTGTTGGCATCTTGTCTCCATCCTTGTTGACAATCTTGGTTATTTCTTTAATGATAACTTTGGTTATTTTGATATGGTTGTCTTTGTTGGTATCTTTGATCTTTATTACCCATGTAATTAACTTCTTCTTCAACCGGAGGACAAAATCCGGTTTGATGATCACCCTTGCATAATTTACAACTAGCAATTTGTTGATTTTGATTGCTAGGTCTTTCTTGCATTTCTCTTAGTTGTTGAGGGAGCTTTTCCGTTTGTTTTGTTAATTCTTCCACTTTTTGAGCGAACAATTTGTTTTTGGCTAAAATAATTTCATTTGATCTTGAATCACTTGCTTCTTCTCTCTTTTGAACCATACTTCGATCATGTTGGACTTGATGGTCATTCCTTGCCATTCTTTCAATAATTTCCACCACTTCTTCCGTTGTCTTTGCCATAAGTGATCCTCCCGACGTAGCATCCAAAAAAAAATTGGTTGTGGTTGTAATCCATAAATAAATATGCATTTGGTTAATGGCATCAAAATCATGACTTGGACATTTTCTCAACATAGATTCGTACCTTTCCCAAGCTTCATTCAATGACTCAGCTCCACCTTGAGAGAACACCGATATAGCCGTTTTTTCTTCCAAGAAACGTGATTGTGGGAAAAACCTTTCAAGAAATTTTTTTTCAAGTCTATTCTAATCCATCATGAAGTTCTTAGGTTGGTCAAGATACCAATCCTTAAGTTTACCGATCAACGAATATGGAAATAGTCTTTTAAACATTTGTTCTTCATCTTCCTCGGGAGCTCCTATAGCACCCGCTATCTCATATAATTTTTTGAGATGGGTGTAAGGATCTTCATGATCTAACCCAGTGAAAGTGTTATAATACAACAGTTGTAAAATTTCAATTTTCATTTCCGAACGCCTTTGGTCAGCATTCCTAGCAAACTAGGCATTCAACCTTGGACTATTTGTACAGGGATCTCTTGGTGGATTTGTTGTCATAACTTCTTATATATCTTGATTAAAAGGTATAGTAGAAGTGGACGCCTCTCCTCTTTCTCTTCTTTCTTTCGCTAGCTTCCTCCTTCGTCTAGTCTTGCTATTAAGTTTTCTGCAAGTCCTTGCTATTAAGTTTTCTACAAGTCCTTTATGTTTGCTTTTAGTAACCAAAGTTTAAGTTTCATGCACAAGTTAAAGATTTGGATAATAGAGAGATTGATGTTTGAAATTGATTGTGTTGATAAAAAGGATGTCAAGATTAATTTTCATCAACCTATTCCACATTTATTCGATTAACCTTGCATATGAACTAATCAATGATCAATACATTCACGTATCCTCTCAATATTTCTCATGTCTAAGCAATATTGTGAGTGTTATCATGTTAATCATTAAATGATCTCTCAACCTAACTATTAACATGATAATCTTTAAAGCTTGATTCTAGTGAATACTAACTCACAAGTCTATGTCTAGAGCTTGTTTATTAGTAGATGAATATCTTAGGTCAAGCTTGGAACTTACTTCTCAATAATGAATCAAACCATAAAATAACAATGATACAAAGATATTCAACATGAATTAATCTTCAACCAAGTTCATATAAAAAATTATTAAAAGAAATACATTAAGTTTAGGTTGACTACTTCTAACCTTGACACAAAAAGTGTTTAGCTACTCATTGTCATGATACCTTACTCAATGAATAAAATGGATGTTGATGAACATCAATCTTCAAGTCTCCTTGATTCAAGATGCAAGAGTCTCCTTCTTTTCTCCTTCTCAAGAGTTAAGAACAAAAAGTATCTTCTATGTTGTAATGTTATTGTCCATAGAACAAAAGGTTTCTATATCTAAAATCAGATTTTTTTTCTCTCCACAAGACAAAAGTTGGTGGAAAGTTCTCCTAAAAGATGGCAAAAAGTAGCCAAAAGTATGGCCTATCTGCGCTCCATCGTTGGGCGACCATAAAGCATCTCCAGGAGATTTTGGCTAGATGCCACAGGTGACCAGCTGGGCGTGTTAAAACTCCAAAAGAGCATCTTTCATCGCCCGGTGACAAGAATACTTCGTCGGGCGATCCTCCTTTCGCCATGCGCCCCAGAAGCGAAACAATACAGAATTGAGGCTTCTATTTTTCACCATTTTCGCCAGGAGACGCATCCTGTCGCCGAGCGATCCTTTGCAGAATCAACACTTTTATTTCCTATGCTTGGAAAGCCTACATTCTCCCTTTTTGCCCTCTTTTCTGCACAAATTTTGCTGAAACACTAACAAACAAATTAAACATTCAAAATTCTTTGAATCCACGCAAAATGACTAAAATTAAATATTTAACCTAATCAAAAATAAAATAAAAGGTCTCAAAGTGTCAATAATTGATATGAATTTTGTGTAAAAGTTGACACTTAACAAGACCTCAAACCCTAATTCATGATTTTTCATCTAAGGAGACAAAACCCTAATCTTGTTTAACCTCTTGATGAAACCCTAGTGTGATAAGGTTGTTATGAAGATGGTGATTATTTCACCACCAAAAATTAATGAGGAGCTTAAATCACTGAGGAATACACATGTCCTTGATCAACTAATTGTTGGATCTTCCTAACCCAATACACGTATCTTGTAAAATCAACAAACAAACAAACAAGACAAATCCTTGTACTTTTAAGAGGTTAGTGGTATAATAGATGAATGATATGATTTCTTAATGATGCAAAAGAATGTGAAATCTTAGGTTAAAAATTAGGGTACAACAGGTCTCTCAATCCATTTTATTTACACAAACCAGAAAGTCTACATATCCTCATATTGCTTTTGTGTATTTCAATGGCACTACACCCCAATCCAATTTCAGATCTGCAAGGACATACTTCTCATCGATCTGAAAATCAAACTGAATACTCTCCTATAATATCCAAAAAACCATAGAGTTACCAAACTCGAATACTATTCACCCTCAATAGACAACAAAGGAAAGCTTCGGTTCACATTATTCGAATCGAAGGCAGATGATGATTTAAAGGTGGTGTGAAATACCTTTTACCATTAATCAACAAAAGGTCCAAAAACCAAGGATGGACGATGGAGTATGCATGGCTGAAATTTGCGGAATGCTAAGATAATTGGTGCAATGCAACTATTTATGTATGGTGATACAATTATTGAATGATATATATGAGTAGAAGTTCTAACCATCTATATAGACTATGGCTTAGTGTTCTTTTTGGTAAAAATCATGACACTAAATTATTTATATTGCAGGATTGGATGATCAATTATGTATAATGATATAAAACTATGGAACTAACTAAGACTAAACAAAATACTCAAGGGTTAACCTTAGATGAAGAAGCATTATAATTCAATCAAAAGAGCATATATATCATAAAGTAATGTCTAAAAATGCAAAATATTTGTTTGAAAAGCTAAACTGCTTCTTGGTTTATAAGTAGTGTATTCATTTGTTAATAGTATTACAAAAAGAACAAAAATTCTTCTGGTGATGATGGTTTTGATGATTTACATTTTCTTTCTCTATCTATCCTTGAGCAGCTTCTATTTTCATTTGGGAAGAATCTATATAAGATGGAAGAAGAAACTTATTTATTATATAACAAAAATTAAAATAATTTGAAACTAAACTTAAACATGAATTATTCTTACTTGCAGATGTTGAACAAGCTGTGTTGAGTTCATTTGTCTTTCTAAATATGTGAACAAGGAAGGTCATGTTAGTACTAAGAATGAGTTCAAAGTTGCAAACATCACCAACTTTCAAATTATTGTCCTTTGAGAATTTCATCCATCCACCCGTGATTTCAAACTTCATTCGTCCATTATTGAACATCCTCATTGAGTACTTTGCAGGCCAAACAGTTTCATTATTTGATACCTCAAAATAAATACATCCTTTCTTCTTGTCCATATCAAAGTGTGTCTTACCAAACATAGTAGGTACAGACTGCCAAGCAAAAGAAAAGGCCATTGTTAATGTTTTATATGCAGAAGAAAACTATTTGCAAATACTTCTTTGCTACTTTACTTACCAACACAAAACGGCTTTTAACGTATGAAGCACCCATGAAAATAACAAAAGATGGATTACATGTTTTGAACTCTTTTGCTCTTTCAAGTGTTGTATTCACTTGTCTTCCTGCAAAAATAAAAGATCATAAGGCACAGAGTTTATGATCATTATTCATGTGGATAAAATGTATTTCAGTTCCATGCGATTTTATTTATACCTTTGCGCTTTTTGTGAGTATGACATACAGCTTCTACCTTTTGTGATTTCACAACTTTAACACAACTAGTGCTTCCAATTTCAAAGGAGGAGTAAGCTTTTCTCTTTTGACTTGCTCCACAATCTTCTTCATTATTGACTTCAACTCTTTTGAAAGGATACTTTATCTCTAAACCACTATTATCAAAGATTCTTACCTCAAAATAGCAAGTTTTTCCATATTTGAAAAGTAGAAGATGGCCATGAGATAGAGAATGATACTCTGCAAATTCTTTCCAACCCTTTTCAAACCATATCTTGCAATCATTTTTCTCTAAATTTATTTTCCAATCTGCACCATTGGGAGTCTTTAAACATATAGATGTTGGTAAACATTCTCCATATTTCTTGACAAACTTTATCGGTATCATCTGTCAAAAAGAGTAATTTTAATAAGAGTACTATATTTCTTCGCACGCGACTAACATGCAGATACATTTTTCTTAACTATAAATACCATGGTTTTAAATTACACTCCGTATTGCGGATGCGGTAGCCTCCGCAACCGTATAGGGGCCGCAATACGAGTGCTATTTAAAATCAAGCGTCCGGCTGCATTAGGTATTGTGGTGAAGCTATTTCACCATTGAAGAAGGAAATATTTCAGCATTGAAGAAGAAAATAGCAAGAAATGAAAAAGAAGAGGGAAGAAGATAATGAGCAAAAGAATGATAGTTTGTTGTATTACACGTGTGATAGCCTTATCCATATATAGTGTGTTGCTATCACTTAACAACCAATCAGAAAATTGTAACTAACTAACTAAAAATAGTAATATTAGTAAAGCTCTTTTTATCCACAGAATTACAGTAAAACTATCCCATTTTTCTATAGACTTAACAGCCCCTCTCAAGCTAAGCATGGTGAATGTTGATCATGCCAAGCTTGGAAATGAATTTGTTGAAAGTTGAAGTGGATAGAGCTTTGGTTAGGAAATCAGCTAGTTGCTCATGAGTTGAAATTGGTAGAAGCCGAAGTAAGCCTTGCTGCAGTTTTTCACGGACTAAATGACAGTCAATCTCAAGGTGCTTGGTTCATTCATGAAATACCGGATTGAGTGCAATATGCATTGCACTTTGGCTATCATAGTACAGGACAGGGAGTTTGGTACATGTGATGTGCAATTCCTTCATGAGAGCTATCAACCAAAGCAGTTCACATGTAGCAAAAGATAGTGCCCGATACTCTGCCTCTGAAGATGATCTGGAAACAGTATCTTGCTTCTTCGCACGCCATGATATAAGAGAAGTTCTAAGGAAAAAGCAATAGCCCGAAATAGACTTTCTTGAATCAGTACACCCTGCCCAATCTGAATCTGAGAAACCAAGAAGTTGCAATTCAGCATTCCTACGAAACAGAATTCCTCTACCAGGGCTATTCTTCAAGTAGCGTATGACTCTGCAAGCAGCATGGTAGTGTGCCATTGTTGGATTGTGAAGAAACTGGCTGAGTTGGTGGGTGGCATATGTAATGTCTGGACGTGTTGTGTTAAGATACAGCAAGCGACCTATTAAACGCCTATAAGCTCCAATGTCTTCAAAGGCTTTGCCACTATCAGCATGTAGCTTGACAGATGGATCAAGAGGTGTGGGAGCTGGTTTAGATCCAAGCATACCAGATTCCTGCAAGAGATCAAGACAGTATTTTCACTGTGATAAAGAAATGCCTGCCTTTGAGTGAGCAACCTCGAGGCCAAGAAAATACCTCAATATTCCCAGGTCTTTGATACTAAACGTTTCATCTAGAATGAGCTTGATACGATAAAATCCAGACATAGAAGTGCCAGCTAAGATTATGTCATCAACATATACTAAAATTGTTGTGAAATGTGCATCAGCTTTCAAAGTAAAAAGGGAGTAATCAGAAGTAGATTGAGTGTACCTTTGGTGCAATAAAAGAGCAGTTAACTTTTCATACCATTTGCGACTTGCTTGCTTCAGACCATATAAACTCTTCTGAAGTTTACATACCTGATTAGGTTTGTGACATGGAACCCCTTCAGGTATGGTCATGTACACATCTTCTTTCAATTCCCCGTGTAAAAAAGCATTGTTAACGTCAAGTTGGTGTAAAAACCAATTGTTGATAGCTGCAGTCGCAAGGAGGGTTCTGACAGTTGTAAGCTTTGCTACTGGTGAAAATGTGTCAAAAAAATCAAGTCCTTCGATTTGATTGTAGCCTTTGGCCACAAGTCGCGCTTTATACCTCTCTATCGTGCCATCTGCTCTATGCTTCACTTTGTACACCCATCTGTTACCAATTGGTTTGACATGTGGTGGCAAATCAACTATATTCCAAGTTCTATTCTTGTCTAATGCATCTAATTCAGTCTTCATGGCTTTGGTCCAATGTTCAGATAGACATGCTTCTTTGTAAGTCTTTGGCTCATGAATGAGAGTGATATTAGATGCAAAAGCACGATGAGATGCAGACAGAAAATGTAATGAATCATAATTTGAAATTGGATAAATAACTTTGGATGTACCTGATGATGACTTGACTGCTGATACATCATATGTATTGCACACATAATCTGAGAGATAATGGGGTGTCTGTTTGGTTCTAACAGGTCTAGACTGAGTTTTGCAATTTTCAGTATCAGGCATATGTTGGAGGTCATGGTTCTCATCAGTGTTTTCTACAGTTTCAGGGTCAGTGTTAGAGTGATATAATGTGTCATTGGCTATGGTATTGTGATGATCATGTTCTTCAATAATAAGTTCAATATTCTGTGATGGAACGTGTTGAGGTGAGTCAATGGATTCTTTGTGAAGATGATAGTCCCAGTTAATAGAATTGGTATTTGAATAGGGAAATATGTGTTCATGGTGTATGACATTTCTAGAGACAAGAATGGTATGATTATTAATATCATAGAGTACCACACCCTTCATTCCATTCTTGTATCCTAAGAAAACACATTTGCGAGCTCTTGAATCAAGTTTTGATCATGCACATTTAAGGAGGATGCAAAAGCTAAAGATCCAAACACTTTGAGACTATGCATATCTGGATGCTCATTATGTAGTATGAAATAAGGAGAAAGGTTATTTAAAGTTTGGGTAGGGAGTTTATTTATAATGAAGGTGGCATGCAAAATAGCATATGACCAAAATTTCTTGGGAAGCTTGGACTGAAAGAGAAGGGCTCTTCCAACCAACATTTAATAAATGTTGATGTTTCCTCTCCACTCTACCATTTTGTTGTGGAGATTCAACACAACTGGTCTGATGAATGATTCTCTTAGAAGCATAAAATTCAGGAATATGAAATTCAGCACCATTATCAGTTCTGATAACTTTGACAGAAAACTGATGTTGATTTTCTATGAGACTGACAAAAATTTTGACATGCTGTCTAGCTTCAGACTTAGCTTTCATTAAGGTTATCCATGTGAATCTGCTACAATCATCAACAGCAGTTAAAAAATATGAATGACCATGCAAGGATTGGACAGCAAGAGGTCCCCAAATATCAAAATGAATCAATTCATAAGGATGAGCAGCTCTATTATTGCTAATAGTATAGGAAAGTTTTCTTTGTCTAGCATAACTACATACATCACAAACATCATTATGGTTAATTGTGATGAAGGGAAATTGGGAATGTAGGTACAAAAGTCTGTTATTGGATAAGTGTCCTAATCTAAAATTTCATAAGGCTTTTTCAGGTAAGGTGACTGTGGCTGCTATAGCAGGTGAAGCATTATCTCTTAGTGTTAAGTAGTACAGTCCATCCTTTTGCTCAGCAGAACCAGTTATCCTCAGGGTGACTTTGTCCTGTATAAAACATTGTGAGTTGAGAAAACTGACATTGCAATTAGAAGATTCACAAAGTTTGGAAACAGATAAAAGATTTAAAGAAAACTCAGGAAGCAAAAGGACATTGTGCACAATGAAATCAGGGGAAAAATGAATTGTACCAGAATAGCTAGCAACAAGACATTGTCCATTTGGCAATCTAACACTGATTGGAACAATTTGCTTATATGAGTGAAACCATCGGATAGAACTACATATATGATCAGAAGCTCCTGAATCAATGATCCAAGAACTATTACTACTACTATGCATGCAATGAGAGGTGTTACCTGTTGATAGATGACCAACAACAACTTGATTAGAAGAAGCACATCCTGAAGATTGGCCAATGCTGGATTTCTGAATTAGCTCCATTAGAGTATTGAATTGACCTTGAGTCATAGGTGAATTATCACTTTTGATGTCAGCACCATTAAAAGAAGATCCATCATCATTGCCATCTGATGCAACATTGTTAGCTGAATTCTGAAACTGCTTCTGCATATGTGGTGGAACACCATGTTTCTTGAAGCAATTTTCAACAGTGTGATTATTCTTGCCACAGAAAGTGCAGACACGAGCTCCATGCTTGAATGTATTGTTTCTTGCACCATATTTCTTGGAATCAGCAGCATTAATCAAAGTTTGGGACTCATCATTGGAAATAGGAAGCTGAAGTTGTCTCTCATGTTGAATAACCATGGAGAATATTTTAGTCATATTTGGCAAAGGATCCATTAACAAAATTTGGGACTTAACAACAGCAAATTGATCATTCAAACCAGTCAAAAATCTGATAACTTGCATTAGTTGATGGTTGGATCTTGCACTGCGCATAGCTTCACAAGAGCATTTGATGCGGCATGTGCAAGTTGGTAAAGGCAAATACAAATCTAATTCTTCCCAAAGAATTTTAAGTTCAGAAAAGAAATCAGTTACCGATTTGGTTTCTTGCTTGAGGTTGTATATTTCTTGTTGTAGCTCTGAGAGAACCGTTCTTTCAAGTCATTCCATACATCAAGCGCATTCTCCAAGAAGACGATGGACTGTGAAACGGAATCTGAAACTGAATTCATGATCCAAGAATGAACTAACATGTTGCAGCGATTCCAAGCACGCAAGGATGGATCGAAAGAATCAACGGGAGCAGGAAGAGATCCATCAATGAACTCAATCGTCATTTTTCCACTGAGCGCCCTCTTCATGCTTCGAGCCCATGAGTGATAGTTAGAGCCAATAAGCTTAGGAAGAACTGTAACCGAACCGGGGTCATCACTGGGATGAACGAAGAATGGTGAAGTTTGATCCAAAGCCGGATCAATAGGTGAAGCTCGAGGAGGTGCCATGGATGCAGAGGGAAGGACGCACGAAATAAAGCTTCAATTGAAAAACAGCGGAATAAGGATCGAATTGGCGAATAATACCATATTGTGGTGAAGCTATTTCACCATTGAAGAAGGAAATATTTCAGCATTGAAGAAGAAAATAGCAAGAAATGAAAAAGAAGAGGGAAGAAGATAATGAGCAAAAGAATGATAGTTTGTTGTATTACACGTGTGATAGCCTTATCCATATATAGTGTGTTGCTATCACTTAACAACCAATCAGAAAGTTGTAACTAACTAACTAAAAATAGCAATATTAGGAAACACATCAAACTATTTTATCTATGTTTTTTTCTCATCAAATTTTAAAATTTCGAAACTCCAAAATTCAATTTACGTTGGATGTGTTGAAAAACTTTAACATTATATTTCAAACACTTTTCAATCAAAACTCACGAGGCAACGACCGCAATTACAACCATGATGAATACCATAACACAGAAACATATGGGGAAAACAAAGATACATGAAACTATCGAAACCCTAAGCTATGTATGAACTTTTCTTGACTCCACTATTGATTATGAAACATAAAGTATTACTAGCAGTATGAAGAAAGAATCTAAATAAGAGACTTACAAGCTTTCCTTGATCAAGACTTTCACTAACTATTATCTTGAAAAAATGAATCGGAGGAAAATCACTACCAAATGCCATGACTTGCTCCATAAAAATATAAACTCCTCGCCTTCTTTTTCTTCTTTTCAAGAAAACTCTTCAATACCTTATGTCTGATTTTATTACCCTATTTCTACTTTTATTTTACTTTTTCATCTATATATTTATATGTTATAAATCCTAATAATTCATGTTACTAAAATCCCAAAACCCTGATCAACATAAAATTCTAAAATTACCCTTTCATTTAATTAAATTTTAATAATATTTTACATTCCATTACTTAAGTTCTTATTTCAATAATTTCCTTTAAATAAAAATATTTTCTATTAATAATATATATCACTGTCTTATACCCAAAACCGTAATCAACGTAAAATCTATAAAATATTAAATGATTTTAATGTTTTTTATTAATTGTGCACCTTTTAAATTGAAATTTAATTTCAATAAATTTTCATAATATCAAAATATTTGCTAACAATCCCTAATCAAAATTTTCTAGGCTATATTATTTTAAAATATCAAAATATTTGCTATTAATTTAACAAAATATTTTTTTTCCTATTAATCTATCAAAATATTTAAATAATTTTAACGTTTCTCTTTAATTATTCAGTTTTAAATTGGATTAGGTTTAGAAACAATCAAAAAATTTGTTACTATTAAACTATAAAAATTAAATGATTTTAATATTTCTTATTAATTGTGCCATTTCTATAAATTGAATGGGGATGGAAACAATAACATCACTATAACTTAATTGGTTGATGATAATACTTTACATAAAATATCAAATTAATCAACTGAGAGCATGGAATTTAGGCAAGTTAGGCTAAAATTTTTTTTTTAAATAATATTAATCTTAATTTGTTGATCATAATACTTTACGTAAAAAGATCAGTCGAAGAATGTGTCATACCTTAAATTTACTCGCTCTAAATTTTTACGATAAAAAATATTGGTATTATAATATTCTTTGATTTTTAATAAATATTTATTTTTAAGTCTATTTAAAATATAATAATTTATTTTAAATTATTTGTATTTTTAAAATAGAAAATAATTGCTCGTCTTCATATATTCTCAATTGCCTTTTTAATTTAAATAAATAACATAGCACAATTGGTAAGGAAACATAGCTTAGTAGCATAAAGTTACTTGTTTGAATCTCACTTGGTGCATTTTTTATATTTCGGTGTTTATTGTTATTAATTTTATTTCCATTTATAAAAATCATAAAAAGTCATTTTTTAATATTTAAATATAATTTTCATATTTTTAATTATGTCATTCTTAAAAATAATTATTAATTTGATTTTTACGCACTTTTTATCAAAATTGAGTGCGTAAATCATAATAAATACCAAAAATATTTCTTTTTTGAAATAACTGTTTCTTATTGATTAATTTGCATTAATTTGTGTCATACTAAACTTCTGATTGGTCAAATTGATGACCAAGAAAGATCTGGTTTATTTTATTCCTTTTTCGCCCTTTAACCTGATTTTGACCGTCTATAAATAGGGCCTTATTTTCATAGTTTTAGACATCAAGAATTCCATCCACAATTTTTACATTTTTCGCTAACACTTTTTCTATCAATAATCTACATATCTATAATTTTTCACTCATTTTTTCACATACACTTCATTTTTTTGCAATTTCTTTTCAAAATTTCTCTTCAAAACTCTTGGTGTTATTTGTGATTTTATTCTCGATCGATGATTTCGTATGAGACCACTCACCCTTTTGTTTCAGTTTTATCTTTTCTTCTTTCTAATTTTAATTTGTCTATTATCAAAACCCTATGATGATTATCTGACGGTTATTTGCTTTTTTGAAATTGTGTATTAATAATTTTTTTTGGAGAACACTCACAGGCGTAAATATTCCATGAGGCCACCCTTTTTGTTTTTAATTTTATTTTCCAATTTATTAGTTATTTTAACCAAATGATGATTCTGATGCTTCTCTTTACTAAATGAACAATTTCACCAACAATTAGCAAATCAACAACTCACTAGAGTTCTCCTAAAATTGTTCTTCACATCGAAGAATAACAACGAAGTATCTCCTACCCAAGAAACTCTTATACCAAAAAAAGAGGAAGAATTGACCGAAAAGAAGGAAAGGAATCAACTTAAATCTGTCACGATATTTCAGGTTGATAACTTTGTCTTCTTTGATGTAAATTCAATTTTTATTTCCTTTGAATATTTTGTTGTCGCTAATTTTTATTTCTCATGGTTAATCTAGTGAGTCCAAGTATTATAATTTATATGAATTGGTTTTTCTTAATATTTAATTGTTATTATAATCACTAGGAAACTATAACTTTTATATGATAAATTAGTTTTACTGTCTTTATTATTACTAAATTAGGGCGGATAAAAATACTAAATAAGAACAATACAAAATTAGGAATAGACAAACCTTCTTACGGTGAAAAACGAAAACATTAATCCCCTTGGTGTTTATTTTAATTTTTGTAGTATTTATTATTTTTATTATTTTATTCTAAATTGTTTTATGATTTATTTCTTTATTGTTTGTACAATATGTTTTTACCAGGCGTATTATTGAATATTTTTTAATATAACTATTTTATAAACCTTTTATAAAAATAACAAACTTATTTCTTCCTTTTATTAAAAATAACTAAATGATTTTTATTATTAATTAAATTATTATTTTTAAATCTTGCAAGTTTTATTTTCTAAATCATAATGTGGATCTAATGTTATTTATTACAAATACTTTATTATTATTATAGAACTTAATTTTTTCTTATAAATTTTAGCAACAAAAATCTTTTTTTAACTAATATTTATTGTTCTATAACCAACATTTATTTTGTAAATTCTAAATTTAAAATTCGTCATTTTACTAATTACATGACAAACTGGAATAAATAGATTTTTACTAATTAAAACTCTCTTTTTTTATTAACTTTAAAATATGTTTACTAACTCTAATGCTATTTTTTCACTTATATATTTATTCAACTATTCACTTCTACTTCTATTTTCAATTCACTAAATCAAAATCAAACAACTTTTTAATCAAAATTAAATTAATTCAAACATTTTCTTAAATAAATTTAATTTGATATTTTACAAAGATATTATTAAACCCTATTGTTTAATTGGGCCAAGTTCAATTTCTGAACTTCGGCCCTTACTACTTTCCACACCCTTTGTTTTACTTAACCCAAATAAAATACACCCCTTGCATTTTTTAAATAAAATTATTTTTTTATTTTTTATTTTTATATTATTATTATAATTTTATATTTAATATATTTATAAATTTTAAAATTATTTTATTTATTATAAAATTCAAATATTTATTTTTCTAACCCATTCAAATATTTTATTGCATTAGGATTAATTTTGTCATGCATTAAAAAGATTTTTTACATATTAATACATTTAAAAAAAACCTAACCCCTACCAAATATTTTTTTAGTAATTTAATTAAATCCAATATTATTTTCAAAAAAGGATTATGAAGATACTTTAAATCGACTGCGAACTTCGTCTAATAATTCTGCTATTCACACACCTAGACTTGGTTCGAGGGGAATTCAAAATATCTTCATAATCCATAAAAAACACCAACCACATACGAACTACAAATTGAGACTATGATTCCTCATAAGAGGATACGTAGGCATACGAATAAAATCGTGACGAATTCCTCTAATAAAAATGAAAATCTTATTTCCTAAAGATTACAATTCTAAATCATAGTATCCTTGTGAACAAGGTAGATGAGGGGTGTATAACACCTTCCCTTCGTCTAAGAACGAGTCAAAAACCCTAGAATCTCTAACCTTTTTAGGGTTAACCTTTATATTCCCTTCCTTAGGATAAAAATTAAGAGTGGCGATTCTCATTTCAAAACCGGTTACAATAGCTGGTGACTCTGCTGGGGAATCAACCCTAGGATTTAAAAACTTCTCTCTTTTAGGTTTAGAGTTTTGATAGAATTTTTCTATATTTTTTATTTCTATTTTTATTTATTTCATTTATTTATTTGGTTTTTTTATTTCATATTATTGTGAATATCATATTATTTGTTGTGGTGGGATTTTAATTTCAATTTTTTTCAAAACCTTTAGAAAAAAGGTTCGTCTATTAGCCAAGGGGATACATAATAATATTTTACAAAGATATTACTAAATTCTGGTGCTTAATTGGGTCAAGTTCAATTTTTGAATTTAGGTCCTTACTACTTTCCACACCATTTGTTTTACTTAACCCAAATAAAATACACCCCCTTGTATTTTTTTATTAAAATTATTTTATTTTTTATTATTTATATTATTATTATAATTTTATATTTAATATATTTATAAATTCTAAAATTATTTTATTATTATAAAATTCAAATATTTATTTTTCTAACTCATTCAAATATTTTTATTGCATTAAAATTACTTTCTTTCATGCATTTAAAAGAATTTTTATATATTAATACATTTAAAAAATACCTAACCAACACCAAATATTTTTTTATAATTAAATTAAATCCAAGATTATTTCCAAAAGAGGATTATGAAGATACTTTTAATTGACTGCGAACTTCGTCTAACAACTTCATTATTCACACATCCAGACATAGTTCGAGGGGAATTCAAAATAGCTTCGTAATCCATTAAAACAAACAACCAACTGCGAACTACGAATTTAAACTCTGATTCCTCATAAGAAGATACGTAGACATACGAATAAAATCGTGGCGAGTTTCTCTAATAAAAATTAAAACTCTATTTCCTAAAGATTACAATTCTAAACCCTAATATCCTTATGAACAAGGTAGATGAAGGGTGCCTAACATCTTTCCTTTGTCTAAGAACGAGTTTAAAAACCTAGAATCTCTAACCTTTTTTAGGGTTAACCTTTATATTCCCTTCCTTAGGATAAAAATTAAGGGTGACGACTCTCATTTCAAAACTGGTTACAATAGCTGGCGACTCTGTTAGGGACTCTAGTCTAGGGTTTAGTTTCTTTTATTTTAGGTTTAGGGTTTTA